GCGGTTGGGGGGGGAGGGCGCACGAGGTGGAGACTTTGGAGGAACTGGGCCGGGGCGAAGGGTCCGTGCTGGAGCCAGCGGGAGGCCGTCCCTGACGCAGTGTTGGTTGTGAGGGTCATGCGCAGGATGCGGAGGGCGAGCTCAACTGGCACCACGGCCAGAGGGTCGCCCAACGTGGCTGTATTGCTTCCATCCATGGTAAAATTAAAATTATACGCAAATTTGCACCTGGGCCTTTTTATCTCATCAGTAGTACAAAAGACCCTCTCAATGCAGGCAGTAAAAAATACCTGCAGTGCAAATATGGCAAAAAACAGGAGAGTTGGGTGTTTGTTGCTGGCTGCTGTTCTCTTGGGGGGAGAGACACCATCAGCAAGCATGACCCAGTACCACAAGCAGTATTTCTGGAAGCCCACTCTTTTGGGGTTACTTCCTTGGCCAGATATTCTCCTGCACCAAACCCCATTTTCGCACATATGTGATGGCCATTTTTGGTGGTGTGTAGCATTGCCAGTCTCCTTAACATGATTCCTGCTGCTCAGTAGTATCACCATCTGGTGCGTTTCTCTTCAGCGCCTGCGCTTGCGGTTGGCCTCAGCGAGTCGCGGGGCGGCTGTGGTGGCCTTCTTCGACTCCTTGTTGGCTCCCTTCTTGGGCTCTGCTGTTGTGGCTCCACCGGAAGCCGCATCGTCAGGTGAGTTCCTCCCTATTCATGCAAAGAGAAAAAAAAATGTGGCCGTCGTACGCGTAGCTGTCTTGGTGGCGGCGCTGACTGGATTCTTCTTGGGCCTCGCCGCTGGAGGGAATGACTCTCGTACCACCTCAACCTCCCTGTCCACTTCCTGCCCGAGGGCATTGATGGATGAAGTAGGCGATGATAAGGCATAAGGAAAGAAAGCGAAAGCGAAAGCGAAGAGGAGGATGAGGAAAGAGGGAAGGGAGCACGCACCCGCATTTCGGTCTTGGTGAGCGTCTTGAGAGTGGAGGCCATGACGTAGATGTCCGACCCCTTGGGGTTGAAGATGAACGCATTCTGGAACAGGAGGTACATGTCCCTCAAGAACTCGATCTTGCTACTAATCACCTGTTCCCAACCAGCACCCTCCAGTGTGAGATGACACCGCACACGACACGACACACACTCACCACACACACACCACACACACACACACACACACGCGACACACGACAGAAGCTCGTGGTGTCGTACCCCTGTCTTGATGCGGTTGGTGATGGTGGTAAAGTCCAGTGGGGCGGTAGATGATCTTGGGGTACTCCGGCACGTCCTCGACCGACACCGGCTGCAAAAAGGGCTTGGCGTAGTGGTGCGCCTTGACGGTCGCCAGCACGCGCCGCACGCCTTCCATCTCCACCCTCCGCACCGCCGCCTCGGCCTCGGCCTCCATGTCGTCCCCTTCGCTTTCTTCCTCTTCTTCGTTTTCGTTCTTTGTCTTTTCCCCTTTGTTTTCTTCTTCTTCATTATCATCATCCTTTGCCTCTTTCTTTTTCTCCTCTTCTTCGCTTTCCTTGACCTTCATTGTCTCCTTCTTCGCTTGCTGGGTCCTCTTTTCCTTCATCGGCCTCTTTTTCGCCTCCTCGCCGCTCGCAGAGTCCTCGACCTTCACGCCGTCCTCGTCTTGGTCGTCGATCACGACGACGGTCTTGACCTCGGCTTCGGCTTCGGCCTCGGCTTCCTTCTCCTCGGCTTCGGCGGCCGGCTTTCTTCTCTTGTAGGTCCGCTTGGCGGTGTTGACGCTCTGCCTCCTCGGACGGCCCCTGGGCTTCATCTGCTCTACCACCACCGGCTCCTCTTCCTCCTCCTCCTCCTCTTGCTCTTGCTCTTTCATCTCGACATCCGC